GTGATCCAGGACCAAGCCAAGCACCAATGTGTTTAGCAGAATTTATGCTGACTATTGCCAAATGACAAACCTATAACGTTTAATGTGGAAAATTGAGTGCTTTACTGCTCAGAGTGCTTCCAGCCATGGACATCAGAAGCCAAATGCAGATTTAGGTAAACACAGTTTCAATTTAGGCTTCCAAAGAACTAGGTAGGGCGAGGTGCTTAAATATTTTCTGGATCTAATGTCCAAACTCCAGGTTTGTGTGAAGAACAGAGATGTAACAGTTTACAAATAAAGCAGAGTTCTTGATTTAGGAGATAAATTAGATGATTATATATTGACTGATGATCTACAACTAATCACACAAGATCAAATGATGATCAAGAGACATTTATAGTAATTCTAGGTGTTCTATCTTCTTCTTCTTCTCCCCACCCCCCCTCCCCCGCCAGATCATGTCGCTGGATTGGAGATTAGTTATTAGGAAAGCAAAATGCAAAGGGATAGATTATACCCCAAATTTGCTTTGGGTGAGAGCAATTGTCAGAGGCTTGTCAAAACATCTCAGGCTCTGGGATGTGTTATTTAGTTAATAAATTTCTCCATTAGTTGGAAAACTTTTATGTTAAAGTGTATGATAAGAATGGTTAATTCATAGACCCCAAAACTAAGACTCCTCTTCCTTACTTTTATGTTTCTTCCATACTCCAATTCTTACACTGAGAAGAGGCTAATTGTTTAGCGAATTATTGAGAATTCAGTCAGACTGAGGCAACAAGGGACATTTTATTTTACTTTTGAAATTTCTAGCACTGTAAAATGGCAAAAGCGGATCTAGCTTTTGATGAAAACATGTTAATAAACTGTTTTTTCTGATAACATTTTCTGATAACATGAAAAAAGATCAATGAAACAGAATATTTTTTGCAAATATATACTCCACAAATGATAGTCTGTAGGGGAAGAAGTGTTTAGATACAGAAGATACTAAAAATAATGGAGTGGATATTTGTTTTCTGTAATGGGTCTGCATTCTAACAGTATTTAAACATTAATGTAGGTAAACTTCTTATACTAAGGCTTGTTGGTTTTTTTTGAGAAACATACACAAATGAAATTATTATTATTTTGAAATATGGGAAAGGAGATTTTACTCAATACCTAATATACATGTTACATTCAGAGGTTATCCGGTAATGTTAACCTATGTTAGTAGAACATTGTTTGAAATATTTTTATGTATCATATCCATCCATAGGCTGTAGCTGCCAGATTAATAATTGTAGAGACAAGGTGATTTTTTTCACTGTCATCACAGATTAATAAGTCATTGTAATTATACGTGATGCATATGTAAAAGACAGCAATTTGTTATGAAATCCAGGCTGAGACAAAGCAAACTAACAGGACTGACAAGACTGTGCCAAGAGAGTGAATCTGCTTCTAGACATTGCAGCTAAACATTTCTTACAGATGTTTTTTTTTCCTCCTTCCTCTCTTTCACTCTGTAGAGGTCCTTCTGTAGTGCCATGATAGAGGAGCTAAGGATGTCTCTGAAATGTCAACGTCGATTAAAACACAAGCCACAGGCCCCCGTTATTGTGAAAACAGAAGAAGTTATCAACATGCACACGTTTAACGACAGAAGGTTGCCGGGTAAAGAAACCATGGCATAGAGCTGGGAAGCCAAATACCCCAAGCACAAACTGTCGTCTTTTTTCCAAACAACCTTGCGAGAATGTTTCCTGTGGAAATATGCAACCTGTGCAAAATAAAATGAGTTACCTCATGCCGCTGTGTCTATGAACTAGAGACTCTGTGATCTCAGCAGTTGCAATGGCCAGACTCGAATCACAAGCATCATGGATCAACCAAGTTATGCGGGGTTACACTGTTCGTCATGGGTTTCCACAATTCTGAATGAATGAATGTTCCATGTGAGTTTTGTGGCTGGTTTCAAATGCAGTCTCAGTGAGAAATTACAGGTTCCTTTTGAAGTTCAACGGTTGCCAGGAGATGGAGAATAAATGTCCAAGATGACACTAACCACGGAAGGAGTCTAGTAAAAGTAATATCTCAGAACTGTAGTGGAACAAGAAACCATATGTTCTTCTGAACTTCCAACCATAGAAGAGTTGGTAACTGCTGGTAGACTGAAACTACCATCTGGACAGGCGATATGAGCTTCCCAGATGGGAGAAATGTTGAAGTGAAGAAACATGAATCCCATGAATAGAAGGATATATATGAGGATGCTCACCTGCTTTTTGGACTGTCTGTGTCACTGAACTAAGTAAATAAATAATAATTAAAAAAACCAAAACATCAGTAACTTAAATTTACCTGGTCTGGAACTTTGATCTAAAAAAATAAACAAAAAAGATCCATAATTTTGACCCAATTTTTAGATGAATGAAAGTTTCCTTAGTACAAAGGAATGTATCTTACAACCTTTAGATATAAGCAATTACTTTTTTTCTTTAATTGTGAAAAGAGGGAGGGGGGTGGGAAGCAGTGTATTTCACACATAGAGGGCTTGCATTTTAGCCTGAATGGGTTTTGAAACCCTTGTTCCTGCTACTAATTGAACTCAATGGAGCCTGTGCAATTCTCACTAATATTGGAAGTGGGATGGGTCACCTAAAGGAAGTGAATGTGGAGAACTTTAAGGAGGACTGCATTTTTCAATACAGTCACAGTACTAAATGAACAAAATTCTTGAGCAGTTTTTTTTTTTCAAAAAAAAAAATGTTCAGGTTTATTTGTGGAAATGCAAGATTTCTATGAAAATAGTTTTTGTATGGAAATTTTTGTAATACTTTTTATCAACAAAATAAGAACATGTGTTTCTGTCAGGGGTGTGATGCCAAGCATGAATGGTAGTGCGTGTGCACCACCAACGTTTGGTGAAAACTATTTTTATCAAGAAAAGGAATCTTAGAAGAGACATATTTTCAAGTTAGATAATATAAAAAATAGGTGCACTACCACCACTGCTTACCATGATACACCCCTGTTTTCCACTAGGCTGATAACATGCTGTCATGAACAATTGTGTGTAAATGGTAAAAGACACAGACCTCTTGACCACATTGTGATAACAGTTAAAGTGCACTCAGTTTGCTGTTTGAATCCAATGCACAAAATTAAAAAGAAAAAAAAGCATTAAAATTATGTCAGTTTTAGTTGTTTTGTTTTTGCTGTGTGATTTAAGCAACACATGTACAGTACTTGTGTCAGTACTGGTACTTAGCCTCAGCTCAGTGCCCTATCATGCTGATTCTTGCCACTAAATGTGGGGCCAGAGAGTTTGCTGGGATTTCTGAGAGAAGCCAGTACTGCACATTGTGATAAGTTGTTGCAGGATCTGGCTCTTAGGTGCTTCAAAACTAATTTATATGTCCTGCCTGTGGTAAGTTCCTGGACATAACATTTTGAAATACTACCCTACAGATGCTGAATCTTGCACCTCCGTCTCCTGTAAATTTATTTGTATCTCAACAAAAAATTGTATAGGATGGGATATATAGGAATGTTGTGTGAACCAAAAAGATTATGAAGATAGGCTTTATATGGAAAATAATTCATTTGACTAGTTTAAAAAAAAATTAAAATTATAGATAATCAGTCATTGGTGAGTAATGAGATCCTTTGTTTACTGGGGGTCATTTTAATCTTATCATCATCTTTCTAACACAGGAGTATAAGATATATCATTCAAATTGTAGAAATGATATAATGAAATTTGGGGGGAAGAGGGAGGTTTGTGTCTACTACCCAGTTCTCATAAATCTTCATAGAGACTGAGCTGGCCATTTCCATTGTAAACAGGGACTGAGAAAGAAAATTCTCTTGTATTTGTGAGAGTTTCATCACCATTTATGTGATAACAAAGAACAGCTTATCTTTGTCTGAAGCATAAACAAGATAAAAACATCTTCAACAAAGATTCTGAAAATGAGGATGCTTACGTAATACATGTTTAAGTTAATTCTCTAAATACAAAGGGGAAGAAAGTAACTGTCATAGAACACAATGAAAAGTAATTATGATGGTTTGGAATGGAAAAAAAATTGGCTATTGCATTTGATTGATGATTTACAATAAAATTTGTAAAATCATGTAATAAAATGTTGTATTATATTTAAACAAACCTTTCATCTCTCCATTAAGGGTGTTGAAATAAGCAGGATTCCATTGTCATCTTGATGCACATAAATAATTCTCATTAAGCCTTATATGAGCTAAATTTAAGTGTGAATGCAGAATATGTCCCAAATGTTTTATTGGGCCAAAGTCCCCCAAGGAAAAAAATCTCTAACACAGAAGTAGTGTGGGTTATTTAAGATTTCAGTGAGAATTTCAGCCTTCCATTATTAAGGGAAATATGCAAAATAACTCAAGATTTGTATTTAAAATCAAGACTGGAAATGCATGGCTCCACAGATTCATAGTGGGATAGTGGCTTTTTTTAAAAATCAGGCACTAATTCATACTGTTACTTCGTTGTGCATTAGTAATTATTTCTGTATTTTTCACAGAAATTTAAGACTTTTAAGGAAAAACGACTAAAAAAGAGTTGACCCCCAAAGCAGCAGGTAATACTACTGGCAATTTCGCACTCCAAAAAGCTCAATGGTTCATTTTCCCTTCACCGTTCTGAAGGAAACACTCAATTCAGAAGAAATCTTTCTCATTTTGAAAGGCCTCTGAATGGCTAGTCCCAAATTCCCAAATTCTCATGTAGTATAAATTTCTGTACTGTCATTAAAATCAATGGAACTACAGCAGCTGAAATCAAGTGAGTATCTGGCCCATGAAGATTCAGAATCTGTACATAACTGCTTTATGTGGTTTCATATAACAGCTCAATCAGTATGTTGATTTCCTAGGACAGGATGATGGGTGCTTCTCTGACTGACGCTGTATGTCACTCTAGAGAAGACTTCAAGCAGTTGTACTCAATTGTATGGTGTTATGTGGTGGATGATAATAGGAGGTAAAAAACTGAACAGGACTTTTTTTTTTTTTTTTTACTGTATCTGTTTCAAGGAGGAGAGGTGTTGATAATCTTTAAGGACTCACAAGACACAATTTACATCTTTAAGTAGCCTCAGCATGTTTATATAGCAATAGGTAACTACAGGGATATTGCAGTATAAATGAGAAAAAAAACATCAGCTTTTTGATAAATATCATTTGTGAAGGACTGGTAACGAAAATTCTGAGCCAAAGAGTTGGGTGAAATCAAGAGGTATGTGGTGCTTTATGGTAAATGAGGATTTGGCTGATTATAGACATCAGCGGGCCATTTCATAGTTTTCTCCTGTTGCATAAATGCAAATACAAACATATCCAGGGAGTCTCTGGAAGGTTTTGTATGAGATATTACTCTCTGAAGTTTCTATCTCAATTTTCAGTTGAATTCAGCATAGCTTTGAAAGAACCTTTTCTTTCATGTTTATATTACTTGAGTCTCTGTGCAATACTCCTTCCTGGTTTCATCCATAGAGTCTTCCAATAAAACAAAATAACCTTGTTTAGCCCTACTACACTTAATAGTTAATATTTCAGAATGGAAAAGATATAAATTATGAAAAAAAAAAACACCACACCAAAATGAAAAATCTGAAATAGGAGAAATGCCCTTATATTCTACAAAATCAACATGTTTTCAGGGAAAAGGGGTCATGAGCAGAGATAATGGCATACAAAGAGGTAAAAGATAATGCTATGAAATAAATTTTGTATTAATATAATATTAAGGATATTAGCAAAATAAAGTACTTTAAACACAACTTCACTTAGTCTCCAAATACATCAGAGTCTCCAAATACATCAGAGTCTCCAAATACATCAACAATCACAAAATATGATGGTTGAAATGCTGACTACTTTGAAAGCAGTGTCAAAACTCTCACTTTATAGGAATCAAGATTTTGTCCAATACATGGCCAAATGTGTACTGATGGGCAAAAAAAGGCAAAATAAGATCCCAGACTGCATTTAGGCGTACAGAAGCAATTGTGCTTTTTGTCATATTTTCGAAGACATGTAGGAACAGAAAGTATCACTGAGGTTGAATCTTCTGTCATCCAAGATCCTTGCTTTCCACCCTCAAATATGTTAGTGTCCTTTTCCCTTCCAGTCTTGCCTCTCTGCCTTCCTACACGCACCTCTGGCACTTTCATATTTCTTTTCAAAACCCTTTTCTTCTGGTTTTCCTATAAAATGTAGTTCTAATTAAAAATAAAGTTTTAATTAAAAATAAAGCACCTCATCTCCCCAGTTTGTATCCACCAAGATAAACACACTAGCGTTTCATGTGACTGTAATCTAATTGTCCTTCTTTTCATTTACTACCCCTCTCTGTCCCCTGCCTGTGTTATCTCCTCCTGTTGTTCTTGTACTTGCCTAGACTGTAAGCTCTTAGGGGGCAGGGAATCTGTCTTTGATTTGTTCTATGTAGCACCATGATCTATGGAGCTATACAAATAATAAAAAAAAGTAGATCTTCTTAAATGATTTTTGAAGTGATAGTGATCTGATTGACTGCCAGTCTAGTAATATACCGTTTTAGCTCATTGCCTGAAATCCTGATCATTACAGCAATAGAATAATCAAAAAATAAAAATAATAAAACCAACCCAAAGGAGCTATCACACTGACTCATCTTACTTGAAATTTCCATATATGTTTGGGGTATAGGACTATATAACATCATGTTCACAGAGCTTCTATAAAGGTTTTAATATGAAATCAGCTATATAAAAAATGGAAAATGTCGGTTAACACATAAAAAAAAAGAGTTATATACAGGATGAGCTTTGAGAAAGAGAACTTTTAATTAGTTTAAGATTGGAAAAGCTATTATTGAGGAATTTGTTAAGTTGAACACCAGGCACCCTGCCTTCCTTCACATACAATTCCTGTTGTATCTACCCACTTACATCAACAAGCCTCTCATTGTCAAAATCTATGCCAATCCTATTTTATCAATTATTTTGTGGACATCATAAGAAATTTTCTATGAAAGGTAATTCTAATTAAAACTAAAGAAATACTTCCTCTTGTTCCTATCCAACAACACTAGCTTTCTACAACTACTGGAATGACAGAATTGTGGAAATATGAGAAAAATGCTAACTGCAGATAAATGAAAGGAACCAATTGATGCATCTAATCTTCACGACAAACACAACAGCCTTCTCTTTTACCTTTTTCTTCTTCAAGGATTGCCACTCTGCAATGATGAACTTTATTTTTCTGAATGTTGAAGTGTGCACTGAAAATTATACATAGATGTGTCTTTTGGGAATTCTCAGATCCAAAAGAATGCCTTTCTTTCCTTGTCATACAATGTGTGCATAGTTTTTCTAGCTACTTAGGAAATCTCGCTTGAGCTAAAAATAATGGAAAAATCTTAGAGTTCTTTCTTTGTCATGACTGTAGGAGTTTTGCTTGGAGGAAATAAGATACTTAGTCCTCCTTTAAACTTACCTGGAAAATTATATGAAAACACTGAAGACTGGTAAAGGTTTGAGCTGTTGCTAATGGTCCTTGGGCTACACCATCCCCCACAGACCACATTCGTGGCGATTTGGTTTTGAAGGTACAAATTCAAACTTTATGATGGATTTTTGCCAAAGATTGACTCTTGTGAGTCTCCCACAAGCAGATTGTTGGCTGTTAAGCCCAGAGAGTGGAAAGGAACGTAACACAGAGATGCTAATCAAACCATTTTCTTTATGCTAACTGTCTGGGCCATTTAGACTTACGTAGATCAATAGATTCTCTGATATGTACATCTGCTAAGCTGTTCTATGGTTTAATATCTATGTTAGAAATGCTTATTTGTGTTAAGTAAAAATTACTTGTGGGCTTATCATAGAGGCACCTCTTATAGAATCAAAGACTCACAAAAACAAAGAATCATTGAGGTTTTGAATTGCTGAGTCCAGAGACGTCTCCAGATAGAGAGGCCTTCTGGAGACTAAGTCCAAGTCCAATGCACCTGTTCAAAGCAGGGTCAACTAGGGAAGATTGCCCAGGATATTGTCCAGCCAGGTTTGAATATTTCCAGGGATGGAGACTCCATAACCTCTCTGTTTCCAGTGTTCAATTACACTTAAAGATCAAAATGAAAGATTTTT